AAGAAGATCTAGGCTAAAATCTATATTTATTGATAGACAATGTACTTTCATATTTGTCAAAACTGTCAATTTCCTATCTTGCCAAAAGGATTTCATCGTTAGATTCATCAGCAGATATTAAAAGGGAGAGAAAATTCGCTGTCCATCATGATGTATATAAGAATGGAAAAATAATTAAGCAAAGAACATATTTGAGAAGCAAAGAAGTTTTCTGTAAGAAATGTTAAAGTCGAAATAGAAAATTTAGCAAAATTAATGGTTGAAAGATAGATAAAGAGTATAGAATATCAAGAAGAACCTTTTAACATGAAAAATAATAAAATAAAGGGTTACTAAGTTCTTTGAGGACACGTTTTTAAATAGCTTTAACATTTTCTAACCTCTTCTGATTATCACTTCATTTCAGACAAGCGCTTGCTGAAGGGCATAATAACATCAAAATACCCAGTCATATACGAAACCTTCAGTAAGTTATCGACAATAACTACAGAAAGTTAATTAACGCCACAGCTAAAGAGCTCATGGTTTCAAGGCACTTATTGGAAGACTTGTGGATGAGGACTTTCAAGTCATCTGTAATACGCAGATTATATCCGAAAAGCCAAGAGATAACCTTCTGATCGGCGCTGTGGAGCCTGTGGATCAAGTTGAAACATCAAGAGCCTGAAATGCTTTGGTTTTTCTCTGATGACAGTAACTTTGATCAGGACCAAAAGTTCAAACCGAATGAACGATATGAGGTTACGCCGAGACCTTAAGGTCGTTTCAAAGGTCAGGCACTCAAAGTTTTCGGCAGTTGTGATGGTTCTAAGATTTGTGAGCAACGAGAGAAACTTCATTCCTTCTCACCTTTTTCTTCAATGTTGCTGAATACAAAGAAAGTGTTGGAGAGGATTGTGAAATCTTGAACAGAAAGCATGAGCAAAGGACTGTGTGCCGTCTCAGAAGTAAAAAGGCGTCCCAAGAATGGATGTGTGTTAAAATGGCCACGATCACGTCAATAGAAACATATGGCCTCCAAGCTCTCCAGACCTGAATCCATTGGGTTACTACTTATGTGGCATAATCGAGAGGGAAGCCAATCAAAGCCCCCCCACCCCATTAGAAATATAAACTCTCTCAATCCGCCACAATGTCTAAAATCAATAAAGATAATCTTTTGGGGGGCATGCCAACGTTTCAGATTTCGTATTGGAGCTTTTATTAAGTAGATGCAGTAAGAAGAGTTTCAAGGTCATTCATAACCATTTTTATCTCAAAGAAAGATTTTCTTTCGTGACTTATACGTTTTTTTATTAAATTCATACAAATGTCCTCAAAGAACCGAGCAATTCTGTAATGTTTCCGTATCTTTCGGGTTTATATTGCAATTGATTTGCATAATAAAACCTGACACCCTCAAACAATTATTATTATTATTATCGCTATTTCTAATAAGGATAGATGCTAATTAGAAATTCACCAAATATATTCCGCATATAAGTATATCATACATAATTTAGCAATATAGTTTCTTGAATATAAATTTTATTGTGAGAATATTGATGTGTATAATAAAATCTATCATTATTCAGTTTTTAATTGTAAAGGAGGATTTTATTTCTAACAGGATTTGGATTCTTCTTGAAACATGGATCTACAGATGCATTAAAAAACTAGTCTGATTTGTTATCTAAACACCATCTGGCATCGCCATGGGCCCATCGTTCCACCAACTATAATCCGATGTCAAAACATCACACGACCTTTGCTTTACAGTCATTATTTACATTATTCGAACATCCCCATCTTCATTGCCATATTCACAACGTTTCGGCCATTTTACGCTGCAGCCTTCTTCCGGAGATTGGAATGTCGAACCGAACCCTTTATTTCACTCACTGGGTTAGACTGTTCTAGTTCTACGTGCCATGTCTAATGGATGGCAGTTATCTCTTCAAGGACACCCGGGTAGATTGTTCTAGTTTCACGTGTCATGCCTCTTTCGGATGTCTCAGTTATTTCAATTTAACTCAAATCTCCATTTTCTTTTTGGTTCAACATTGCTGTGGCTTGGTATTGAACTCACAACCCTTTAGGTCTAGTCACTGGATCTATCCAACGCCTATATCCACTGGAAACGTTGTGAATATGGCAATGAAGATGAGGATAGCAATCCGATTAATGGAAATAATAAAAAGTAATTATAATACCTCATCCCAGAGATATAGACAGACCTTTATTTTGTCGACGTTTCTTCCTGTGATAGCGTTTCTGTCAAGAGTCACTAAGGTGTATCCGTCTAGTTCAGCGAGGAAACAACGACATTCATTGGGGAAAAGAACGGCCGTAAAATTGTTCTTGGTGTGATAAGTTGTCAGTTATTTAATTTTTCTTATGATGTCTTTTAACGGAGGCTGAGTGTTTGGTCATATATGTTGGTACCTAATTTAAGAGCCAACCTTTTGTGCTCATAGACACTTCTTTGCTTTCACAACATCTAAAATTACATAGCTTGACA